GGCCGAGGCTGCACAAGAAAAGGAGAAAAGCGTCGTTGTTTTCGTCGAGCTGCGCCGCTGCACCCGGCCCTGCCAGGATAACGACCATGCCCTCGGAGAATTTACAACTCGTTGACGCTGCTTGAACTGCGCCGCTGCACCCAGCCCTGCCAGGATAACGACCATGTTCCGCCCCAGGCACCGCGTCCCTGACCTCGAGCTACGCCGCTGCACCCAGCCCTGCCGGGATAACGACCATGCTGTCAGTCGGACGATACGCCGTCGTTTCTCCGAACTAACCGCTGCACCCAGCCCTGCCAGGATGACGATCATGTTCTTGAAAACTCGTGACAGCCTCAGAACCCAGTCCATGTCCTCTTGTTCAACTCTCATGAAACCGAGTGTGGTTTACCCGAAGAATCCAGCTCCCAGAGCGGTGATGATTTGCTTCCCCTTAAAGACCTGCAGTTCTGAGGAGTCTGAGAAGCCTTTGCGCGTGTGGTGCGCGAAACAGAACCCCCTTTCCGACGTTTGCGTTTAACATCAGCGGTATCTGCACCAGAAGTCTCCAGTGAGTTGCTTGGATTCCTTGGTTCATTGTTTGCTGACGCGTTGCTCGGACTTGTCGATGGAATCTCATCTGTCGTAGTGTCTTCTCCCAGTTCGGTGGATGAGGTATGAGACGTTGGGGGCGAGGGTAAACTCTCCATCTTCTGGCGTTTATATCCATTGTCCTCGCTGTCATCATCAGACCTGCATCTCTTCCGAGAGGCTTGACGCGTCGGGGTGGGAGCAGCGTCATGCTCCAATTTGCGGCGCTTGGGCTTCTGGGCTGTGGCATCCTCATCGGATCGGATTCTTTTCTTCGTCAAAGCCGTGCTTCCGTCCTCACCCAAAGAGCTTGCTGGTGCCTTTTGAGCTGCTTTCTCATCGTCCTCCGTCACAAGATGTCCATCGCTCGGAATGGGCGGGAGGGGCTGCCGCACTGAAGAGGTCCGGCTGCTGGAATTGGGAGCTGCATCGTTAGACGCGGCTGTTGCATACTCGACTGCAGGCGCTGCAATAATGAAATCATCACTCGGCGTTTGGTCCCTGCTGTTGTATTCGCTCCGAGTCTTGTAGTTCCACTCGTAATCATCGGGGTGTTGTGCCGCCCAATCTCGAGGCATTGGGCCATTCATATAGGGATAGCCGTGGTAGTCAGAATGGGCCTGCGCCTCCG